TTGAGACACACTTCAGGGACATGTTCATTTTTGTTGCGTCCGTTAAGTTGGATTGGACAATATCAAGGCTCGATTTGATATGGCTTTTGAAAAATCAAAAGTTGCTTTTGAGGTTCAAACAAAAGATGTTTTTAGATCCATTTGATTATTTTTATGAATGTGCTTTTGTTCGTTAGGATAGCATTTAGAAGATATTAGTTTAATGACTCTCGGAATGCGAGTGATTTTAAAAATTAGTTTTCAAATAAAAGTTTAGATAGTTTTCTTCAAAAGTTTTATAACAAAAAATAAAAGTAAAAGTAAAAATCATGTCAAATGAATCTAAATTTTTAGTAAAGTTGGTAATATTTTGTTCGCATTGAATATGTCCAATATTCTTTTTGTATTATATCTGTTATTGTGTGTCGTACATTTTGGATATCTTAAAATTTAAGATATTACTGGAGGTAGGGATGTTAAAAGGGTTGAGCCGCTCGGCTCGATGAAATAGGGCTTGTAGGCGGCTCGAGCTTGTAAAATTACGAATCTGAGCGCGAGTGAGCCTCGCTCGGCTCGCCTATAGTGCGAGTCGCTAGGCTTGTGGATCGCCATTTTTGAGTGACCAAAACGATCACTTTTTTCAATGACTCAAACGGTCATTGAAATTCAGTGACCCTTTCGATCACTGATTTATTCTTTTTCCTTCTATTATAAATATCCCTTAACTCCGCATTTTTTTTTATATCAATTGTCTCATCATTCTCACTTCTTATTTCTCAACTCTCTTTTATATCAATTGAGTTTTTACTCTCTTGCATTGTTGTGTAAAATATATAATATCGATTTAATTTTTACAGTTTATTCAGTTGTAATTTCAATTCATCCAATTCTCGTTACATTTATATTTTTATTAGTTATTATATTTGAATTTCACCATAAACAATCAAATAAATGGATCAACAATCATTTGTTGAGAGCAGTCAATTTCAAAATGAATTTGTCGGTCTAAATGACGTAGCCATACTAGAAAATGTTCATATTCACGGTCATGGAAGTCACAATCCAATTGATTTGGATGATATTAACGTTTCCAAAGTGGAACATGAGGACGAAGATGTTGAATTAAACATCCCAGATGTGAGGAGAAAGCGAAAGGACAAAAAACAAGCAATATTTTATGATCACTTTAAATTGATTTCAACGAGAAAAGTCGTCAATAACCTTGTAGAATCTAAGGCAATATGTAAATACTGCCAACAAAGATTGGCACGGCAAAAAGATTAGGGCCACCCATCTCAACCGCCACTACAAAATATGTGTGGTCAGACATGGACTTCTTCCAACTGGTCAAACACAATTGCAATTTGGCAGTCCAGACGTCAGTTTTACGACTCCACCCCTATCCATGTGGGTGTATTCGAAGGACAATACTCGAATCGGAATGGGGAAATTTGTTGCCACCACTGAGTTGCCTCTGGCTATTGCAGATAACCCACACTTGTCTCGTTCGTGAAAGAATATCTATAATCAAGGTACATTGGGGTAAGTCGAAACACTCTTTGTGCCGATACAATACAGTATTTTAATAATTCAAAACAACAATTAATTATGAATTTGTAATAATATGTGAGTGTTAAATCTTTAACTTTTGATATATGAGAAGATGTTAATAAAATAGCATATATAGCTGCAACCGGACATTATATAGACTCACTTTGGTATATGCATAAAAAAATTATTGCTTTTAGAGTTATTGAGTTTCCTCACAATACTAATAATATATATAATGATATAGTATTGTTAGATAATATAATTGCGAGACTAAAATTCGCTATTTTACTTTTGATAATGCAAGTGTTAATAAGGTAGTTATCGGTAAATTGTGTAAGGTACTTCAACCTAATTTTGGTGGGTATTTGTTTCATATTCGTTATGTGTGCCATATTTTGAATTTAATTGTGCAAGATGACTTCAAACATATAAATTATGAACTTCGAAGGATTAGTAATGCATTAGTATATATTACGATCTCTCCTAATAGAAAACAAGCATTTGAAGATTTTTGTGCCGAATTAGGGGTGATGACTGCTAAAATATTTGTTAGCGACATAAGTCATAGATAAAACTCTACTTGCTATTAAAGTCATGTGAATGTTTCGAACATTTAATAACTAACTTTTATAATAATAGATACGTTAGAAGCGATGACGATGGTATGTTGAATGAATTCGATTGTGTTTTAGTTTTGAAAGTTAAATGATTTTTAACATATTTTTATGAGACCACAAAAATTTTATTAGGCGTTTATTATCCTACAAGCTAAATGGTGCTTGAACACCTTTATATAATTGCAAGAACATTCCATATATAAAAATGATTTTGATTTTAGTGAAATTATAATTGCTATGAAATTAAAGTTTAGAAAATATTAGGAAGAACTGCCTATGTTATTTCCTTTAGTATGCGCAATGGATCCCCGATATAATATTTCAGGAACTAAATACGTATTAATCAAATCAATAAGCCTTAATACTTGATATACCTATCACATATAAGAATTTAGAGCAAATATTATGTGAAATGTATGATTTATATACGGAAAGAATGAGTGCGAATGTTAGTCAGGTACCCTCTGCATCTGCTCCTTCGGCTGAAATTGAAGATGATGCTGAAATAATGAATTTATTTCAAGGCATTAATACATTTAGATATGATGCAACTGCAATATGTTTATCTAGTGCAATGTATCTATGTTTGCATTTTATCAAACATTGGTCGCAACTCAAAATACGATGTCTGCCGAATTAATTAATTATTTCAATCATAATATGCCAACAGATAGGATAATTAAAAAAAGTTCAGAAGAAGTAATTGAATTTTGGCGAAAGTATGAAAGAGGTTGGCAAATTATTTCTGCAATTGCGAAAGATCTACTGACACCTTCGGTTAGCACTGTTGTTTCGGAGTTTGCTTTTAGTGCAAGTAAAAGGGTTTTGACCGATGTCAGGAGTCGACTGAAAAAAATGTTTTGAAAGCGTTAATGTGCGTAAAGGATTGACAGGTTTCGACTACAAAATAAATACTCTGAAATTGCGTTGTTAGGTAAGTGATATTTGATTTAATTATATTAATCAAAATTTTCTTATTTTTTAATCGTTAAATTTAATTTTCTTTAAAAAATTGTACATGTTACAACAAGTTGTTCATATACAATTTTTAACTCCATCTACTTAAAATTGATGTAGCCGGTCCCAAATTCGGATAAAGGAGGAGTGTTTACATTTTATCTATTTTAAAAAGAAATTGAAAAAAATTATTTTTTGTAAATGTATTTCAAAAAACAATTCGTTTTCATTATATAAATATTTTATACTTTATAAAAAATATTACAATATGATAGAAATAAAAAAAGTGTTTTAATTAAATTATTTGTATTTTTTTAACACTTTTTATTTTTTTTAAAAGTGTTTTCATTACATTATTTATATTTTTCTATATTTAAAAAAAAATGACGAGCTTGAGAGTCATAGGTCGGCTCTACCCACGAGCTCGTGGGCCGAGCTGAGCTCGTTCAAAATCAATGAGCCATGAGCTCAACTTGTCACGAGCGCGAGCCGAGCTCGTGAGGTTAAGGGCCGAACCGATCCGGCTCGATCCATTGACATCACTAACTGAAATCGACTCGGCCCATTGACATCACTAATTGGAGGACTTCATTTACAATATTTAAATAATTAGTTCTGGTTTCATTTTTGTTTTTTAAATTTGTGTAGAATAGAAAGGAGCATTTTTCTTTCTACAATAAATTTGAAGTATAAAAAATAAGAAAAGGTCATAAATGTCATTTCATAATAGGATGGCAGCTAGACTTCTTCCTGGCCTCACTCAATACAATAATCATATAACTTACACACAGCCCACGCCCTATTTTTAAATTCAAAATCCAGCACCGGCACCAGCAAGCAATTTCTGTTCACCCAAAAAGAAATAAATAAAAAATAAATTTAAACCTCATCCCTCAAGAGTGTCTATAAAGACACACCTCTCTCTCATTTACGCGTCATTTGATTTCTCCATTTACACATTTGGCGTTCCAAACGAGGTGGCTTTTAGCATAACAGTTAGCAAGAAATCAAAACAAGTTAGCTAATCATTCGTCGAAGGTTGGATTTGCATCTCGTCTCGAATTTTTCGCTCTCTTGATAGAATTTCTCTCCAGCTCAAGTTAAATTATTATTGTTGTTGTTATTTCCCAAACTTTTTTGTTTTTTTTTTTTTTTTAAATTTTTGGTTGTAGAAAGATTTTGTACTTGTATTGATTTATTCCGGAGCATCATATGAGATCTGAAATTCGATGCGTTATGGATCCAATATTTAACGTCTTTTTGAGCAATGGGTTAATGGAAGGGTTAGATTTGGTAATTCTGAAGTAACTGATTCTTTAAGTCCGGTCTGTTCTTTGTAGCATAATATTTTGCTCGATCTATGCTGCGACTTTATAGATCTGCTCCTTCCTGTTGTCACTTATTGATTTCGTTTGAATTTAGCTTGTCTGTATGTATTTTTTGCATAGCTAAGGTCACGGCGATGACAATTGATTGTTATTGCTCTGAAATTCAAGTCCTTTCTCTTTGAAACGATAATCTTTTATTAACTTGATCTGAATTTAATTGCTTGATGTTTTGTAACAAGAGGATTTTGAACTCAAACTTTTACCTCATGAAGCTTGCGGCTGTGAATCCTGTTTTTCTTCTACAATTAAAGAGAAAATATTGAAATTTAGAATGTTGTTCCCAGAGAATTATGATTTGACTTTAAAAGTTTAAAATGTGGCAAATGTTTCAAATCTGAAATAAATGTTCATATAACGTGGCATGTTTTGCGTGATTATATATTGACTAAAACACACTGGCATTTTTTGGACGTGTTCTTTGAATTATGAATACATGTTTGTGCTGCGGCTTTGCAACAATTGTATGCAGCTTTTAGCAATAGTATGCAATTCAATCTCATTTCTTAAGTAATTGATTTCTGTTTTTTTCTGGAAACTTCTTTCCACTGAAGCTGAATGAGTGCTGTATTACAATATGTCTCAATCTGCTTCTTATTACATTAGACATGGATCTCTGCGATTCTTCTTTAACCAACGTCCTACTATACTGATGTGATGTTGGTTTTTCCAGTTCATAGAAAATGGCTGATGCAGAGGATATTCAGCCACTCGTTTGCGATAATGGAACTGGAATGGTTAAGGTTAGTTGATGCTTTCAAATTCTTTATAAGCCTTTCTCTATATTATCATTGGTTATGTAAAAGTGATATTTATGTTTATATACAGGCAGGATTTGCTGGTGATGATGCTCCCAGGGCAGTTTTCCCGAGTATTGTGGGTAGGCCCCGGCACACTGGTGTGATGGTTGGGATGGGACAGAA